CCCTTTTGTTCTGAACATTAGACCCCAGAGCATTTTTTCCTGTCATGGTCGCTCGTCATTCTAATGGCCCCAGGAGAGGGTGTATCAAGGGGCTGTGCCGGGATTTTCTCAGCCCTTCCTCTCCATGGGAAATAATAACAGAGAACACACACTAAACACTCAGTGGGTGCCAGCTCCTGTGTGCCTAAGCCCACAAGACCCCAGGAAGAGAGGAAATGGCTTTTTTCCTACTGGAAGAGTGAATGGTGGTGAAAAACCTTGGTTCAAATCCCAGCTCTGCCATTCAGTTGCTGTGTGACCTCAGACAGGTTACTTAGCCTCTCTGAGCTGCAGTTTCCTTATCTATACAATGGGCGTAATGTAGCGACCTCATAAATCCCCCAATTTAATTGAGGTTCCCCCGTTTTTTCTTTATCCCACTCACCGTAATTTGTGTCCGGCTGTGTTCTCATTCCTTGGCTGTCTCCCCCGCTGGAACGTGGGCTCCCGGAGGCAGGGGCCATGTCTGTTTGGTTGTCTGTTGGATCCCCACAGCAGGCCCTGCGTGCGGTCCTGGGGAGCAGGTGGATGGGGCCGTCGTGGCCGTGGAGGAGACGAAGCAGGAGAAGGGACTGGGGAGCAGGGTTCTCAAAGCTCGGAGTGTCCCCCGTGGGGTTCGGGGGGGCCTCTGTGGAGGAGAAAGGCTCTGGGTTCAAATCCTGCTCCCCTCCACGGAGTGTGACTTTGGGCCAGTTACTCGGCTCCCCTGGGCCACAGTCTCCTGGGTATAGAGAGTGGGTGACACTGGCCTCCGGCTTTGGGGGCCGCGTGGGGCCCGGGCTCGCCGGCTGCGCGAGGGCGGATCTGAGGGAGGGAAGGCGGGAGCCCGTGCCTGTGCTCCGGGGGGGGGAGGGGGGGACCCCTGGCCGGGGTGGGCTGCCGCCCTGGAGGCCAGAGGTCTTTCTCCCCTTCCCTCCCCCTCGCCGGTCACGGGGCTCAAAGGACAGAAGCTAACCGTCTCCCCCAGCGGAGGGGGCCGGCGCGTGAGCCCCCCTGAGCCCCTGTTTATAAACCCGGCTTAGGAGTAAATCCCAGCCGCTGACCCTCCCCAGCTGCTCCCTGTCCTGGCAGTTAATTAAGACGAGCTGTCCTGGGTTCTCAGGGCCCATAAATCTGCCCCCTCCCCGGGCTCCTACCCCGCCCTCCCCTCACACCCCTGCCTCCAGCCCGCCAGTCCTCTCCCTCATTCTGGCACCGGGTGGGACTTGTGTCCTGTCGGCCGTCCCAGGTCAAGCCCAGGTGAGTCTGGGCAGGAGCCGTCTGGGCAGGCCTGCTGGGCTGTACCTGCCAGTTTCCTGGGCAGTGACTCTGGGTCCCCAGAGGGGTCGGGCAGGGGACTGGAGGAGGAGGAGCCAGGAAGGACAGCGGCTGAGCAGCTCTGAACGCTCCCTCTGCGCAGCTGTCTCCCTCACTGCCCATCCCAGTGGACCAGCCCCGGCCACCTCGTCACCATGGAGACGCACCTGGGTCCTAAGACAGACCACGCCCAGCCTGGCTCCCCGGGGACTCTGAGCATCCACCAAGGGCCTGAGGAAAGGTGCAGCAGCGCGAAAGGCTGTGGGCCCGTGCACACACACACTCACACTCACACATGCACATGCTCACCGAGAGACACACAGCGAGGCACACACACCAGCCTGAGCCTCATTTTCCTTTGAGACTAACCCCGTGCCCTGCTTCCAGGGTCCTAGCCTCAGACCTGGCTCCCCACCTCACAGCTCAGCCCCAGGGTGGTTTTGAGGCTCTCAGCGCTTTCCCAGGTCTCACTGACTCTTGGTCCAAGTAGGTCTGTATTGAACGTTCTGGGACCTTAAATGGCTCAGTCAAGGATGACGGGATGGTCTCAGCCTTAGAGAGGCCGTGTAACTACCTCCCACACCATCCCATCTGTGATCCTGAACTTGCATTCATTCACTCAACAAACAGCACATACCCTGCTGAGCACTGGGATATGATAATGAACAAGCCCTAACCGAGGCCCTCAGGGGGTTCCCAGCCCAGTGGGGTTGGGGTGAGGAGGGCAGAAAGCAGACTTGTCACTGTGCCCAGGGAGAGGTGGGGGCTCTGAGCACAGAGCATGAGGGGGCCAGCCCCCAGCCCACAAGGGGCATCCCCAACAGACCCCCAAAGGGAAATGGCCGAACCTCAGGGTGCCACCTGGGTGTATCCCCTGCCCATGGAAAATGATGGGGCACAGCCTTCATTTCACCTCCCTCACCCCAGCCCGTTTCCCTCTCCAGGGCGTCCCTCCAGCCGTGTAGACAGTGCTGGCCTCCCTGGTTCCCTGACTGCCGGTTTCCTGGGCAGACCGGGGTGGGGTGGGTGGTTTTAGATCCTGCCCTCTTCACCCCACCTGAGAACTGGGGGGGGGGGGGGCAGAACAGTTATCTGGACCAGGAACCCCTTGGCCCTTGGTGCCCTTCCACTGGAACCCCATGCACACCTATTGGTGCTGAGAAGCAACCCAGGGTTCCCAGAATGAAGGGCACCCCATCTGGGCCACTGCTGCAGACCCTCTAAGGTGATCACTTGTGCTTCCAGGCGTCCAGACCCCTGCACCTTCCAACAAGCCCCCTGGCTTTAAGCTTCCCCTTTCTGTCGACTTGTCCAGAAGTTCTCAGAGTCCCCAAAGGTACCTCTCTCTGCCTCAGCAAGACCCTAGGGGACTGTGCAAGCCCTGGGGTTGTGTTCCCCATATGAGCTGGAGGTGGGATGTGGTTGGGCTGGGACGAGAGCAAGAGAAAGGAGGCCAAGGATTACCTTCACCTTAGGCTGACATACTCAGAAATTAGATGGATGGTTGCATGGTGGGGTGGGCTGGGTAGAAGGAGGAAAGGGGGGGTGGATGGATGGATGGATAGATGGATGGATGGAAGGATGAGAGGAAGAAGGAAAGAAAGATTGGGTGGGTGGATGGGTGGATGGATGGTTAGGAGGAAGGAGGGGTAGACAGACAGATGGGGTGACAAGGGAGGATGGCAGGAAACTAGGGTGACAATGACTACCAGGCAAGGGTGGGGTCTTGCGGAATGGAGGACGCCCACACCAAATTGCCATCTTAGAACAGATGTTTGTGTCTTTTCTCCTCCATGAAGTGAATCTCCCAGCATCTCCTGGAGGAACACAGTCTAAGTCTGTTTTTAGTTCAACAGACAAGGCAGTGTCCCTTGGAGCCTGTCTAATGGCAGTCTGTTTGCCCTTGATGGACTTTTGTGGTCATGGAGAGCCACTGATGGAATCCTGCCTTGTAAAACCCTTCCTGTATTTCAAGACTTCAATCAAAATAAATAAAGTGGTTGAACTGGGTGGGGTTTTGAACTGGGCTTTCCCAGAGATGTTTCAGGGGTTGAGAAAACACTTTTATTTTCTTTTAAAAAATATTTCAAAAGTTTAAAAAACTCTAGTAAAAAAATCAGATCCGTTGGGGACCACCAGCACGTGTGTGTGTCCTGCCAGCTACACCCATTTGGAGCCCTTTCTACTGAAGTGAAAGTTCTGATATTTCAAGGTAAACAGTCGATAAACTGCTACCACCAACAGCTGCTTATCTGTGTGACTTTCCTCTGTACCATGTCACAAAGCAAAAGACAGGAATCAGTTGGGTTCAGGTCTGGTGTGATTGGAGCTCTATCTGTACTCTCCCCTGGAAGTGCTCGTCTTCCCAACACAGGCTTTCTGTTCTCAGAGAGGAAGAAACTACAGAGTAGGACATGCAATTTATTCCTTCTACTGGTTTCTCACATTGGGGTTTCTGTGTTGGTTTTGTTTTGTTTTGTTTTGTTTTTGTGAGGAGGACTAGCCCTGAGCTAACATCCGATGCCAATCCTCCCCTTTTTTGCTGAGGAAGACTGGCCCTGGGCTAACATCCGTGCCCATCTTCCTCCACTTTATACGGGACACCGCCACAGCATGGCTTGCCAAGCGGTGCAGCAGTGCGCGCCCGGGATCCGAACCTGCGAACCCCGGGCCGCCGCAGCGGAGAGCGCGCACTTAACCACTGTGCTGCCGGGCCGGCCCGGGTTTTATTTTTAAAGGTGGAGTTTCACTGATAATTTTGAAAAGAAAGAGAAGGAACAAAAATAGAAACCCATTAGCCTAATCCCCAAGGAGGCTTTATCTCTTCCTTCGTCTGATCCTCTCCAGCCCAGGCCTTTCTCCCTCTGTGCTGATTAAGCTGAGTCTCAGTTAGGGTTCTTGTCCCCCCAGTCATTGACCCTTTTACCAACAGGGGCCTCACTGGACCCAACAACACGTCGTGGGGAGGTGTGTCATTCTTGTGTAGGTCAAGGTTGAGAATGAGCCAGGCTTCTCTTCTGAGCCTTTCATGGCCAGCGGTTCATAAATGTGTCCAACCCCTTTAAGAATCCACGTCTTGGTCCTGCTGGGGTCACCTCCTGGTGTAATGAGTCCCGCGTTTATTACCTGCGGGGTCGAGGCAGTGTTTCCTTCCAGAGGGAGCCTCTCGTCCCGCGCTCCCTCCCAGCTAGGTGGAAGGCTCCGCTGCATCTGTGCGCACCTCACAGCCGCAACCTCCCAGTGCCTTCCAACGGCTGGTGCCCATAAGCCTGGCTCTAGACCCAACTAGTGAGAAGGCCAGCTTGTTCCCAACTGAGAGCATTCTGGAACATCGTACAGAAAGAGCTCCGCTATTGCTTCTATCTACCATGTAGACAACTGGAATTGAGCTGGCAGGAGGCGTCCTGCTGGAAGGAATATATAGGAAAGACTTGCAAATAACACATCAATAGATTGGTCATAAATGGGCTCAGAAACTATTGGGTCACTTCAGACTAGGCTATATCCCTTTAAAAAAATCACATTGTTAATTTGCTCTGTGTACTCTGGGTGGAAGCAAGGAGGCCAGCCCTTGGGCCAATTACTTTAAATGCTGAATTTCTGATGGCATTCACGATGGCTTGCTTAATGACCACCTGTTCAGTGCTGTTATTCTCTCCTTCTAGATTGTTCTTTGGGGCCGGACTGAGAAATGCCTGAAGGAGACAACAGAGGAGATTCGGCAGATGGGCACCGAGTGCCACTACTTCATCTGTGACGTGGGCAACCGGGAGGAGGTGTACCAGACGGCCAAAGCTGTCCGGGAGAAGGTGAGTAACCTGGGAGGGTCTGTCCTCGGCTCGGCCGGACACAGGGGGATGCCAGCCAAAGAGAACATCCTCACGTGGCCTGGGAGAGAGCGTCGCTTATGGCAGAATGGCTGTTTCTGGGGTGCCTCTGGGGACTCTTCTGCGTAGCTGGCCTAGTTTTTGCGTGTGCCTGCGTGTCTGTGTTGCAGGAGACAGGGATTAAGATGTGGGTTGATTACATAACAAGAATCATCACCTGTTGTCCCCTTTGGAAGTTTAGACCTTATGAGTTTCCATCGCAGACCCTGGTGGGGGGCACATGTCCCATTGCCTGCCGGGAAAATCCTTCTCCTGACTCCAGCCATCTATTTAGACTGAGTGTATCAATGAGCTCCAAGAGAGCAAACACCACCCTGTGGAGTGTCTGGCACATGGTAAATGTTAGCTATTTTTATGTAATAATAACCTCATTTATTATAAATGTGCTCTGTGCCAGGTATATTATCTGCCATAAATTATTTCTAATGCTCAGAACAACCCTGGTGCGGTTATTAGCTCCATCTTACACATCAAGACTGATGCTCAGAGAGGCGATATGGCTGCCTGAGGCCGCACGGCCGGTGGTGGTGGGGCCAGGTCTCGCCCCTAAAGGTTCAGGCCACTGGGGCTGGCGGCCCTAACGGCCCTGCGGCTCCCTCGCACCCGCAGGTGGGCGACATCACCATCCTGGTGAACAACGCCGCTGTGGTCCACGGGAAGAGCCTGATGGATAGCGACGATGACGCCCTCCTCAAGTCCCAGCACATCAACACCCTGGGCCAATTCTGGGTAAGGGCTGTCCTGGGCCAGAGCCAGCTCTGGGCATGACAATGACGTGTTCCTTCCCCTAGGGAGCCCGGGTGCCATAAGGGAAGTGGGAGAGGCTCACTAGGGCTTGGGCGTGGGTCAGGGGGACGTCCGAGGACAAGGCGGCCGGACACGAGGGATGACCGGCCCTAGAAGACATCCAGCCTTTCTGGGATGTGGAGCTCGGTGCCCGGGAGCAGGCAGCCCTCGGCCCCCTCCCGTCCCGGGAGGGCTCAGTCACAGGAGTAGTGCCTGTGTCCGGGGGGCTCTGTCCTCCCTGAGAGAGGGGTGGAGGGGCGGGGGGAAGCTGCAGCCGTTCCACGCTGACCTCGCCGCCCGCCCGCCCCCAGACCACCAAGGCCTTCTTGCCGCGCATGCTGGAGCTGCAGAACGGCCACATCGTGTGTCTCAACTCCGTGCTGGCGCTGTCCGCCATCCCCGGCGCCATCGACTACTGCACGTCCAAAGCCTCGGCCTTCGCCTTCATGGAGAGCCTGACGCTGGGCCTGCTGGACTGTCCGGGCGTCAGCGCCACCACCGTGCTGCCCTTCCACACCAGCACCGAGATGTTCCAGGGCATGAGGGTCAGGTCAGTGAGCGGGTCCCACCAGCAGACTGGACCAGGGGACAGGCTTGTTATGCACAGAGAGCTAAAACTTAAAAATAACCCAGCAGCCCTTCATCTTTGGCTTTGGGGTCTCGTACCTGATTCTCCATCTGCAAGGCAGTGGGACACTGTAGTGCTTAAGGGTCCTGCTTCTCGGGTCAGGGGGCTTTTACAAAGTACCCATGCCACGTGCATGCAGTGGAATACTTACTACCCAACTATCCAAAGAGAACAGAGTGTCGATACGTGAGCTACATGGATAATCTCACAGCATTACACTGAGTGAAAGAAGCGAGAGACAAAAGAGCACATTCCGTTTGTGTGCAGTTCTAGAACAAGCAAAACTTGGCCATGATGAGAGAAATCAGAACAGTAGCCACCCTGGAAGGCTAGGGATATCACCTGGGAGGGAGCTAGACGGACCTTTCTAGGCTTTTAGAAATATTCTCTCTTCTTGATCTGGGTGGTCGGTACATAAGTAAAATTAATCAAGCTATACACTTAAGATTTATGCCTTTTATTGTATGCAAATTATAGCTCATTTTAAAGAAATACTGAAGCCCAGCCACCCCTCCTCCAGGCCAGTTAGGTCAACGGGAACGGGGACCACTGGTTTAGAGATTCTGCTTTGGCGCCAGGCACCCGAGGGGCCCACTCACCTGTACCTACAATGTACCTTGTGACCTTGGGTCCCGTTACATCCTACTTCGCTCTCCACTGCTAATCTGTAAAATGGGATGGTGAGAATGTCTACACCTAGGGGTCTGTGATAAGGATAAAATGGGATCCGACGTGGAACACCGTATGTGCTACACAGCCAGTGCCCCATAAATGGTGCTGTAATGATACGCACTTGTGAAAAGGCATAAGGTTATAGCTAAATGAAAATGAGGAATTATCCGAAAACCATTTCCTTGTTTTTTGCAATGCAGCATGTAATATTAAATTTGCCTTCTAAATGATATGTATCAGCTTCTTGCGAAAGTGAGGATGACGTGGAAGGGGCATGGCGAGAATTCAGTGAGACGGTTGGGAACGCCTTCAGCATGGTGCGTGCCATGTGGGAATCTCTCGATACACCCTACTTATTATTGAGAGGGATGAGTGTGGTTTTGGTGGTCAAGAATCAAAAACACCTGGTTTTGAACCACACCTGTTTGGTTGTGAAATCTTGAGCCAGTTTTGTTACCTCTCTGAGCTGTACTTTGCTTGTCTGTAAAACAGTGGAAATAATATTTACCTCGTAGGATTATTGGGAGAATTAGAAATAACACATGTAACGTATCTAGTGCAGAGCCCCGGGCATTCTAGATGCTCAGTAACCAACTGCTGCTCTTATTATTTTTACTAACGATAAACATCTTCATAAACGCATGTGTTATTAATCTTCCTAGCAGACCATATCTTCAGTTTATCACAGAAGTATGTATTTCCACTGGACTTGGATGCAAATTATCATAGATTCTGAATTTAGAGGAGGCTGGGCTAATGACTATGAATGTTCCATGTTGGTTTTTTTCTCCCATAACGTCTTGGTTTGGTTTCTTCTCATCTGGGCATACAGGAGGTGCTCAATACATGCATATTGGTTGAAAGTGCAGCAGTGGTAATCTGAGGTTTTAATTGGGCACCCTGAGTGCAGAAGTGGTCGGGACATTCACAGACCAGCGCTCGTGTGTCTACTTCACCTTCTGGCGTAGTTTCCTTGCCACCACTTTCAGAAGGAAATGAAAGGTTTCCCCCATGTCATGTTTCCACAGTGGTTCAGAGTATGGGCCCAAACTGCCTGGGGCCACATCCCTGCTCTGCGGGACCTTGGGCAAGTCACTTAGCTTTTCTGTGCCTCGGTTTCCTCATCTGTAAGAAGGGACTGATAACACCCCCTGCTTCACGAGTTAGCTGAGCTCCTGTGTGAATCAGCTAGCCTGCCTGGCGAGTAGTATGCGCTCGGGGAAGGTTAGTTACCTGTGGTTGTGCAGGTGAGCCCCAGGGCTTGGGGGAAGAGTAGTAAAAGGATGAGTGATGCTTAACCAACTCCCGTTTCCTGAAAGGCGAAAAGAAGGAGAAAAGCCTTGGCTTCCTTCCCAACCACACTCAGCAGCTTCCCAGGGTTGAGGGTGGGAGACAGATGTTTAGGACAAAATTGATGGGTTTTCCGGCAAAAGTGGCCCTCTAGGTGGGTGGTGGTGTTTGTAAATTGCGATTCATTGATCCAGTTACACCAGACACTTTGCAAACGCTTCCGCGTTTGGCCCGCGGCAACCCTGTGAGAGATCTCTTATCCCCATTTTACAGACAGGAAACTGAGGCTCAGAGAAGTGAAGTAACCTGCCCAGGACCACACAGAGGGAAATTGGCTGAGCATACTCTTTCCAGGAGTTCGTGCTGCCTCCGTGGGAGCGAATAGCTCTGCCAGCTTCCCATTTACCCAACCCCCCCACCGTGGAGGGAGAGGAGAAAGGCCCACAGCAGACGAGCGCGAGGCATTCTCTGTCAGGTTCTCCTGCAGGGTTCTTGCCCGGAAAGGTCCCCCTGAACCCACGGAGCGTGGTCTGTCCATCCTGTCTTCCCTTCCCCCAAGCAGCAGGACTGGCCAGATGGGGGCTGGAGAACCAGACTGTCCGCCATGTCTACAGGGTTCCAATATCAGTGAGCTGCCTGGACACGTTCGTCTCTGCAGGACCCCAGAGGCTGGCCCTTGCAGACTGTAGGGCTGTGGGCATCTCAGCCGCACATCCTGATAGCAAAGGAAGCACAGGACTCTTGACCCCAACCACGCCTGCGCCAGGAGCCCAAGAGCTGCGCTTTGCTTAGGGTGACACAGACCCAGGTGACTCATCACCTGTAATCCTCCTGGTGCCAGAACAGCTCACAAGCCCTTTGTGGGATTGAGGTCACAGCCAGCAGCGGCAGCCCTGCACCTACAGGCCCAGGAGGAGCGGGACAAGCAGCAAGCCAGGGCGGGGACGGAGCATTGGCCTGGGGCTCGTGCAGCCCGGGTTTGAATCCCTAGTCCCCCACCAGCTCCCCGGAGCCTCAGTCTCCCTCTCTGTGAATTGGGGTGAATGATTCCTGTTGAGCACTTAGCCCAGGCCTGGCACTTATCACTCTAGGATCTCGGGTCAGATGCCTGTGAATAGGCCTGAGAAGGCCCTGATGTTTGCGTATTCAATCATGCGTTCCTTTATGAACCCCGTGGAAAGCACTCTGTAAGTGCGGAATGAATCAGTGAATGAGGGAGTGAACCAGCAAGCTGGGCAGAGAAGGGCATCCCCGGCGGAGCCCCTGCCTCCAGGCAGGACGCGCAGGACACAGTGGGGGAACGGCAAGTCATTCAGTGTTCATCCACTCAGCAAGCATTTATTGAGCACCTACTGTGTGCTGGGCACTGCACACAGGGTATACAACAGGGAGGAAGACCAACCAGACCTCTGCCCTGGGGGAGCTCCCAGTCTGATGGGGAGACAGGCCATTCATAAGCAAACCAGCCAACAGGCAGGGCCATCCTAGATGCGGTTAAGGCAGAAATCAGCAGGAGGACGAGTCAGAGGCCACTCTGAGTGGACGGGCGGAGGAGGGAGCCAGGCTCATGGGCCAGCTGGTAAAAGGCCCTGGGATGGGAAAGAGCTGAAGTGACAGGAGCAGCAAGATTGGCCAGGACTTCTGGAGCAGAGTGGGAAGGGAAGAGGGGGGTCCGGTGGTAGGCAGGGCCGGGAGGAAGCGGGGGCAGCGGCGCTGGGGGCCCAGGGAGGGTTAGAGCCGGGCAGTGACGTGATCTAAAGGAGCCCTCGGGAGTGCTCTGGAGAAGGGGCCCCGGTGGGTGGGCTCAAAGTCCTCAGTACCCAAGGGGAGACACTGGGAGGACAAGGGAGTGAGGGACTCCCCACACTTCTGGGGGAGGCAGGGGAGGCGGGGAGAGTATTCCAAACCGGTCTCAGGTCTCCCAGACAGGAGAAGCCAACGGGCTGACCCAGACCCGTCAGCCGCAGAGGCCTTCAGCAGACGCCCCGGCTTCTCTAGGAGAAACCCACATCGTCTCTTCCTGCCCTCAGGTTCCCCAACCTCTTCCCCCCACTGAAGCCAGAGACGGTGGCCCGGAGGACGGTGGAAGCTGTGCAGCTCAATCAGGCCCTCCTCCTGCTCCCATGGACGATGCACGCCCTCATTATCTTGAAGAGGTATGGGGTTGGGGGAGAGCTCTGGGTCAGGCCTGTGCTCACCATTTCCCCTTCTCCCAGCAGACCCTGGGGGGAAGAGGCCTCAGGCAGGAGAAGGTACACATGTGATCGATTAGTCATGTCTGCCGTGGGCGTGGAAATGAGAAGTGAGGGCCTGTGTGCCATGGATTTACCATCCTTACTACGGAGCAGCGGTTCTCCAACTTGGTCTCAAGACCCTTTTAGAGTCTTAAAAATTATTGAGGAACCCAGGGGCCAGCCCCGTGGCTTAGTGGTTAAGTTTGGCATGCTCCACTTTAGTGGCCCGGGTTTGGATCCCGGGCATGGACCTACACCACTCACCAAGCCATGCTGTGGCAGCGACCCACATACAAAATAGAGGAAGACTGGCACAGATGTTAGCTCAGGGTGAATCTTCCTCAGCAAAAAAAAAAAAAAAAAAAAATTATTGAGGAACCCAAAAACCTTTTGTTTATGAGTGGTATCTGTCACTATTTACTGTATTAGAAATTAAAACTGAGAACAGTTTTACAAGGTTTATACATTTGTTTGGATTTAAAATATTTATTTATTCATTTATAAATAGCAATAACAAAGCCATTCCATGTTAATGTAAATATGATATTTTTATGAAACGTAAGTATATTTTCCAAAAATAAAAATAAACGTAGTGAGAAGAATGGCATTTTACGTATTTGCAAAGCTCTTATTTTCTGGCTTAATTGAAGACAACTGGATTCTCATATCTGCTTCTGATTTTTATCTGTTGTGATGTCACATGTCCTGTAGCCTCTGGAAAACTCGGCTGTATACTTGTGAGAGAATGAGAGTGAAAAAGGCAAATTTTTATAATGAGAAGAGTATTCTTATAAAAATAGCTGGACCTCACAGACCCCTGAAGAGATCTCCAGTACCCCCAAGGATTCCCAGACCACACTTTGAGAACCGCTGTTCTAGAGGCTAAGACTAGGCCCCAGCGTTCAGGAAGTTTCATCTAATGGGGAAGACAAGGATCTCAGTGTCAAAGGCTCTGGAGTCGCAGAAACGTCAGAGTGCTAGTCAGGTGGGATGTACCAGGCAGACCACCCCATGGAGGGAGGTGTGATAGAGGAGACAGTCCTCCTCCAGAACTTGCCCAGCATCACATTCCCCTAGAACTTTCCAGACTTTGGGCAGCAAATCTTTCCCGTCCCAGTCCCATACTGAAGGGGCCGTTCCAGGAGCCTGCCGAGGCAGTTCATGGACCTCTCAGTGCTCAGAGCTTCAGCCCTGGAGCCCCGAGTGACTGTGGGCTCCTGGCTCCTCTGGGCACCCCGCCATCTCCAGCCCCCTACCCCTGCCGACCGGGAAGGCCTTTTCAGGAAGCGAAACACCCAGGTGCCTCCATCAGAAGTCAACGCCCAGGAAACCAGGCTCCCCTCTCGCTGCAGTGAGCTCGGTGGCCCAGCTGAGGAGCCACTCCAGCTGTGGGCACAGAAACCTCATGACCGAGGGGGCACGTCAGCCAGTCCTTTCTCCTCCAAACTCAAAGCCCTTTGGAGAGACAGAGCAGAGGGCGGGGGGCAGGGGGCACCTGGGGGCATTTGGGCCACACCTCAGCCTCCCTCAGTCCATCCTGACCCTCAGAGCAGGGATTCAGGTCCTCACCAAGGCCAGGCTGCCACCTTCCACCTTAGGGAGCTTCTTAGAAGTCTTTTGGAACATTCTAGAAAAAAGCAAGTTTGTCTAAACATCTCAGTGCTCTCCACAGTACGCCCCCAGCCTACATTTCCTGTTCTATCCCCCACCACTTTCCCACAGGAAGCAGAGGCCACCTCTCTCCGCATTCCCTGCACCGTGCCCCCTTTTCACCTTCCCCAGGAGAAATCTTTACAGGCTCAACTCTAGTGCCACCACCCCCAGGAAGCCTTCCAGATAGCTCCAGCTGGAAGTGAGCCTTCCCGTCTTGCACCTAGAGTGGGCCAGGCCCTTCAATTTGATTCAACAAATGGACTGAGGCCTTCTCTATGCCGGGCCCTGTGCGAAGGGCCGGGATCAGAGAGGGAATGTCTGCCACAAAGGCAGCCATGGGCTTGACAAATAAACAGCGAGGACACCAGGGCTTGTTGGGGAAGCACAGGGGCCATGAGGAGCCCAAGGAGAGTCCTGGGGTGAGTCTGGGACATTTCCGTGGAGGAGGTGACACCCGGTGCCTCACAGTAAATATTTGTTGAATAATGGCATTTGGCGTTAACTGGTCTCTGAGATACCCATGGGCCCTAAAATACTAAGAATGTGTCTTTGAAAGTTTGTTTCTACTACCCACCCTTTACCTTGTAAACAGCTGTTTATCCACTTACCTGAAAGCCCTTCCTCCATGGAGGGGCGGAGCTGGTGCGTGGCTTGGAGAGAGTGGGGGGAGAGCTATGGGAACCGTCTCTCTACTATGCTGTCTTGTGACCTGGCCGCTGGTCCCCCCAACTAAACATCTTCTTTCCTCCCTCCCCACGCCCCTAGCATACTCCCACAGGCTGCGCTCGAGGAGATCTACAAATTCTCAGGAACCTACACCTGCATGAACACTTTCAAAGGGCGGACATAAAGGCAGGACACAGAGACGCTCGAAAGCCACAGAACCTGAGGGGGCCGTGGCACCCAGGCACACACCCCCGCGCCTGTCCCTTGGCACACTTCTGCTGGGTGAGCAGGACTGCTCCTGTCTGGGGAAGAATCCAGCTGCCCCCACCACCCCACCCTCCCAGCCCCAGGACCTTTGTGCAGGACTGATGGGCATAACTCTGACCCCCATGGGGAGGCAAGAAACCAGCCAGCAGCCGCCTTGACACTTTTGTACATTTCTAATTCTGTAGAGTTTATTGTTAAATTGCTTCTCAAGTCTAACCAGCCTCAGCAGCGTGCATAGACTATTTCCGGGAGGGTCTGTGCCCAGATGCTCCTCCTTTCCCTCCAAAATCCACACATCCTCAGCTTGTGCAAACCGGTTGAACGGCAGGAATGAAAAATAAAGAGAGATGGCTTTTGCGAGTTCCTTTGTTGAAATCCTTGATCTCTGGTCCTTGGTGGGCAGTGGGGAGGGGAACAATCTCAACCACAAAAACCCATCCTTTGGGGATGGCCCGGTGGCGTAGTGATTAATTTGCGCTTTCCACTTCGGCGGCCCGGGGTTCACGGGTTCAGATCCTGGGCACGGACCTACACACCACTCATCAAGCCATGCTGTGGTGGCATCCCACATACAATATAGAGGAAGATGGGCACAGATGTTAGCTCAGCGACAATCTTCCTCATCAAAAAAACTTTTAAAAAAACATCCTTTGAGAGAGAATTGGTCTGCTCGGGGCCCCCAGCTGCCGGGAGTGGAGTGGGCAAGAAGGGCAGAGATCGGGAGAGAAACTGGAGCCCAGGCCTGGGGGCACACGGCTCCTTGCCGGCTCTGCCAGGCCGCTCCCAACAGCCGTGGGTGGGGGGCACCTGCCTCCCGCCACTTCCCTGGTCTGACCATCACGGATCAGTCTGCAGAGAGCTGCCCCCTAACCTGCCACGGCCCCACCAGCCACCAGGCACCAACACAGGAGAGCAGAACCAGTCTTGATTGAGCACCCACTGTCTACCTAGCGTGTGCTGGGTGCTGAGAGGGGAACATTGCTGAGAAGGCAAAACTCGGAAGACCGCCAGCACAGCAAGGCCAGTGCTATGAGGGTGCTAGGGCCCCCACGCCACATGTGATTGCAGGGGATAGAAGTGAAATAGCAAAGGAGAGGGGAAAGGTCTGGAATGGCAGAGGGGACTGACACGGGCTCAGTCTATGGGGAGAAAGTACAGCAGGGAGATGTGGGGAGAGATGCCCATGGTTTCTCTGCTGGCCGTTCTCCCCGGCTGCACTCAGCTTAAGAAACCTGACCTTGGGCGGGGAGGACCGGCAGACAAGGAAATCTCGTCAAAGTACGCTCCGTCCACACAGCTCTTGCAGGTGGTAGCAGGGTGGGGAAGGGGAGCAGGCAGTGGTCCCAGAAGATGAATGAGAAGGCCACAAGCCACAAATTCACTGGAGGTCTTCCCCGAGACTTGCATGAAGCCAGCACCTACACACAGCTCACATTAGAGGAATATCAGCTCGACGGTTGTCAGTCTGGTCTGTGTGCAGATATGCCAAGTCACCATGACATCCACTACGTACTGAGCACCTAGTGAGGGGCTGCCACGTCCCGAGGCACGGTATTTTCACGGTATTTCACGGAATTCTCCACTGCTCCTAGCAGCAGCTGAAGACCGACAAACAGCTCTCGGGAACCCCTTGAAAGGCTTCCAACAGCCATGATGTGTGTCAGGTAGGATGCGACCCCGGGTCTCCATGGCTTCCAACAACGGAGGCTTGTCTTACAATTGCCCCCTGCTTTTCGAGGGTGGCTGCAGCTCTGCTGTGTCGTCCTCACTCTGGGACCCCAGCTGACAGAGGAGCCTCCGTCTGGGACAGTGTCATCTGTGGCAGAGGTAGACACACCTGGCCAACCGCACACTGGCTCTGAAAGTTTCTGCCTGGAAACAACGCACGTCACTGCTGCTCACTTTTCAGTGGCCAGAGCAGGTCACGTGGTCAAGCCTGCCATGGATGCAGCTGGGCATACAGTCCCCGTGGAGGCGTGGTCTGTAATTTTGAACTGCAATACAGTCTGCCGCACCGTGGAAGAAGACGTCCATAAGAGCATAAGGAAAAATTAAAATGTAGGCAGAGGATGGAGGGAAGCAGACAGATACTGGCCCAGGACGTGGTGGCCACACTGGGCGCTGAGCAGAGCCCCAAAGAGGCACCGACCTTTGTGGGGGATGGTGTTAGAAAGACCATCTCCTAGGAGAGGAAACGGGCTGAGAGCAGGGAAGTTGTAGGCCTGGTGAGCACCAGAGCCAGAATTTGAACCTGGCCTTTGCTTACTGTGGGCCAGCGATGGGGGCGCCAAGCCAGGACCCGTCACCTTCGTTTTGGTCCTGGAGGACATGTGTCAGCAAAGTGTGTGGGGGGTGGGGGGAGAAAGCTGCTACAGGGGTCCTCCTGGCCCCCTGGCCAGCCTGGTGAGGTCGGGGCTGGAATGTCCGTGCCCACACTTGTCACCCCACTTTGGCGTGTCTGCACAGCATGGCTGGGTCCACTGGGCTCGGCCTGCCCCGCTGCTGTCCTGGCACCACAGGTCAGGGGCCTGTCACTGGCCCTCACAGGAGATAGGTTGGGGACGGGCACATCTCGGCGGGCAGGATGGAAGAGGAGGAAGACGTGGGGATCCTGCCTGCTGAGCCCCCCTTTCCTGACCATCTTGAACAGCAGGCGGGTTTCCGTGCTCACAGCCTGCCTCCAGGCCCACCTTTTGGAGGGGGTGTGACTCCCGGGGTCTCCGTGAAATTGCACTTGGCCTGCGGGCCAGGAACACAGTGAGGATCCCGGGAGTCTGAGTGGACTCTGGGATTGACAAGGCCGGCCAGCCCTCCCCAGGGCCCACTGGGAACGGAACCACTGTCTTGGCTGCGGTGGGACCTCGTGGCTTCCCAGAGCCCCAGGGGCTTCTCCTAACCATTGGGCGGGACCGGGTCCCACCCCACCCCTCCCTCTCTGCTGGGACACTATCAGTCTTTTTCTGGATCTTTTCCCAGAGGAACCCAGGGAAAAAGCCCTGGGCAGATTCCCAGGAAGGCCCATCCTGGTGGCTCCCCGGGATGGCTCCATGCTTGGAGAGCCTTGATAGTGAAAGTGGAGGGCCAGTTCTGTCCCTCGGCTCAGCCAAGTGAAGGAGAGCGACAGCACTGAACTCCGGCTCCCTGAACCCCCGAGAAGCAGGCCCGGGCAGGCCAGCCCTGTGAGGAAGCTGTGGGCCCTGGGAAATGACCCGGTTGCCAGGCCTGGGGCTCCTCCCATCTCCAGAGAGGACCAGATCAGAGGTGGGCACCAAGCCCAGGGAGGCGCCAGACCCGAGCCCCCTCTGGCCCGGTTCCAGGGACCAGGCTATCTGGCCCAGAAAGTGGTCAGGAATTGAGTCCTGTGGCCACCGCCCCACTCCAGGGCCCAGAATGCTTTGAGAAGTGAACTCTCATCTTCTAGGGCCAAACTGATGGCAGGGAGGGACCAGGGTGACAGAAAGCTCCTGGGCTGACCACAGGGCCCTTCTGATGGGGCAGCCCGTGCGCCTGGGAACGTCCCAGTCTGATGGGGGGATAGAAGAAAAGAGCCAGGTCACAGGCAAACAAATCCTGCCACCCACATGCTGAGCAGCCCTGAGGGAGGAGAGCAATTGCGGGTGGGTGGAGGGGTAGGGGGTCATTTAAGGGCCCCTGTGGGGGCTCTCCGACTCCCACCACTTCTCCCTTTGAGGGGTCTTCTCTGATTTTCAGGAAGGGCCTTTTAAAGGCGGGGGGGGGCAGGAATCACTAACAGGAGCCCAGAGTTCTATGTTTGTGAAGAGAACACCCATAAACAGACGCCCCTCGCTTCAGGCAAAGCCAGGAGGTGACCATGTCCCTCGACACAGAAGGCAGGCCTAGGACAGCTGTGGGCACCCCTGTCACCCTGCGCTCCCTTTGAGTAGGGCTGTTACCCTGTGATGTGATTTACCGACATGTGTTAACACGCTTCTCTTCATAAACTGAGGGCCTCGTGCTATGGACAGAGCCTGGGCCTAGGGCCACTGCCCCTCAGCCATGCAGGGTCCAGCTGTCCCCCCTTAGCTCTCATGAGGCCCTCAGCTGCCAGCAACCCCACAGACCCCTGAGTGCCCAGCTCCGCCCAGCCCACCATGAGGCCTGGAGGCTCCCCAAGAGGTGGGAGGCTCGGTGTTTGGGGGTAAGAATCCAGACGCTGGAGTGCCACAGGCTCTGCCGCCTCCTGTGTGTGACGTCACATCTCCTCCCCTACAGAGTGGACGAGACATTCCTGCTCTCCTGCCTCCTGCGCCGGGATGAGTGTCCAGTGTGAAGGCTTTGGAGACTCGAGGGGATACTGTGCTTCTGGGGGCTCCCACAGCTCCCAGCCAGGATCCGACTGCCCCTCAGGACTCTTAGGGTCACCGTCTTGGCCTGGCTGGTGAAGCAGCGTCCTTTGAGGCCTGGCCGGCTCCCTCGTGGTTGGAGTGGGGTGACGCTGTGGCTCAGAAGACCCCAACATGGGTGGTGGGTGCAGGGTCTGGGGGAGGCCCCAGGCCCCTGGGGAGGGCAGAGAAAGGGGCCCAACAGGGAGGTGCTGCATCAGGGACAGGGACATTTCTCTGGCATGTCCCGCCGTCGCTGGCTCTGGGCAGGCCCTTTGCACCCAGGTCTCTCTGAGGCTCGGGAAGAAAATGAACACAGAAGTCCCCCGCGAAGGCACTGCTGGGGGCGGCAGGACGGCCACTGCCCTGCTGGGAAGCTGCTCGTGGCACACAGATCTCCTCAGAGGCAGGGACCTCAAAGAGCCACCATCCCCAGTGAGCTGGCAGGAAAGCAGAGTGGGTTGGCCTGCCCCAGAGACTGGCCGGCCAGTGCACGGCTGTGTGCCCCAGGGGGCCACCGACTTCTCTGGGTTGAAGCGGCTATGAGAGAAGATTTCTGCAGGGCCCCGAAGCCTAGATGCCAGGTCGCTGAGGTTGCCAGGTCCAATCTGCACCATCAGGGCCATGGGCCCCTCTCCAGCCCTGCACACACAGACCAGCCACCAAGAGCCCCAGGCTCTTTGCACACACCTCCCAGCCCCACCTGCAAGCTCCGCTTCAGATGTCACCTCTGAGGCATCCGCCTGACCACCAGGGCCTGGGTTGCTCCATCCAGCCTTTGGCTTATTTCATTCATCATCTGCCTCACCATCTGCCATTACTATTATCTTTGTACCTAACAGCTTTATTGAGATATAAATCACATTCCACACAATTCACCCATTTAAAGTGCACAATTTAATGACACTCAGTATGTTCGCAGAGTGGTACAACTGTCACCTTTGGGAACATACATACAGACGTCTTCGAGCACATACGTACAGGGTGTGGCCTTTTGTGTCTGGCTTCTTTCACTCA